TATATATATATTATATACAAAAAATATATAAATTTTATACACTTTTGGACTACCAAATATAAATAGTTTCGGCCGCGTTAGGAAAAAGATATTACCGCGCTTTGGGAAAATGATATTTGTTGACTAAAGAAAAAGATAAGATAGGGAGTTAGGAATATTACCGCGTTGACGAACATTTTCACATATGATTTGTTGACTAAAATTGGTTTTCCTGAAACCACATCGTCCACCCTTAGACTCACACTTTCTACAATCCGGATTAGCCCAAGACAGCAGAATATCATCGCTAAGATCTGACGACAAAACCTGCTCGAAAAATGGCCACTGAACTGGAACAGCAATAGTTCCAATCAAATTACATGCTGGTGTTGACAACAATCTAGCTCCTCTCATAGAAGATGTAGCATACACCGTATAATTTAAACCACTTAAACAAGCTATTGGATTTAGCTTCGCCCTTGTATAATAAAAAGAGCAATTGAACAATGTAAAATCTTGATAATAAACCCCAGAAAAAGGAGAAGAAGAAAGGTTGAGTTTAAGGAGGAGCTGAGGTAAGCAATCTTTTGGGTCGTTAAGCCATAATTCTTGTGTAGAATAATCTATGGCATGAACAGTGAATTCTGCTGATAAATTTGGTAACTTAAGAATTGTTTGGTTTGCTGCATCACAGTGTAAGTTGAAACCTGAATAGCCACAATTTTGGGATTGGACATTCTGTAGACGAAAAGGGAAACGAATCAAAGGTTCGTCCCGGCGACGACATGCAGAGGTAAAGCAAATTTCTGTGCTTTTGACTATGGTAATTAAATAATAGGAGAGGAGAAGAAACAGAGCAATGGTTTTTTGCAATTCCATGGGGTTGCTTTAAAACAGAGTCTTGGCTTGTAAAATGGTACTACTATATGTTAAAGAAGTCTAGTTTTGAAAACATAGTAAGAGTAAATATTTAGGGGGTGTAGGCCGTGATGAGCGACTTTCAACCATTGATTGGCTTCTTCAAGATAAAGGATGTCATAATATATCGTAAGTCAACGTTCAGAAGAGCACTAATTTTCTATTAAAACCATACTTGGATCTTTCTCAAGGTAATTTATTAATCAAATAATTCATGGATCGGTTTTCTCCGTAGAATGGTTTACAGTAAGGATGAAAGGAGAATGACTTCCTACTCTTTACCTAAACATAAATATTACTAGTTTAGTTTCATGTTGTTCGGTAAGTATTAGGAGAATAGACGAATTCAATTAAGCTTATATTCCTCGTCAACCCTTTCCTGTTTCCATCTAAATCTGATTTCTCCTTCCTGCTTACCATGCTTTTTCATCCATTTAGTACTACGTATGTCAATCTAGTAAAATACCAATAACTACTAGCTAATTGCTAATCCCTCCCTTTCAACTGTTTAATTTAACCTTTTAGTTTATTTAAAAAGAATGTTACATTTTCATAATTAGTACTACTATGATTTTAGTTCTAGCATTCCTGTTTTACCTTTAGTATTATTCCCTCGTAGAAATGAGGTGACATATTTAAGACCATGTTCCAAAAGTATTTTGATATCTTACACAAACCTCTAGTTTAAAATCATATAATACAAAAGTTTTCTTTCTATTATTAAACTTTATATTCAGTCAAACGAAGACGTAAAATGACCTCCTAGGAATAATATAAGGCTAAAGAGAGAATCAAAAAAGGATCTTTTGTGTATAATCAAGCATGATATTGAAGCACGTAGACCAAATAATACAATACAAGCAAAAGTTAGACAAATGAATAATTTTCTTTATGTTCCACTTAAAAGACAATTTATGGTTGACGGCTAAAGCACAATTAACGTTGTAGATTCCATTTGCTAATCAGGTTTGAGGAGTCATTTCTAGCCTTACTAAGAATGCTTCAGGTAGAAACGCCACAAGGGAGAAAGAAAGCTCGTATTTACTCAAAACTAGGCCAGAAAAAGAACAAAAAGTCAGGAGAAAATTATTCAAGTAGATCAATGTAACGGCCCGATCGATCGTTTTGAGTTCTAGCGTGTCGTTCAGCGGTTTGAAGTCTTGAGAAGCTTCACTTTATGTATTGTGACTTACACGTGTGATCGGAATTTAATTTCGGGAAGTTCAGAGTTGATTTGGAAAGAAAATTCTCATCTCGGAAGCTTTAAGTTGGAAGAATTGACTAAGGTTGGACTTTTGAATAAATGACCTCAGAATCAATATTTGAAGGTTCCAATAGGTTCGTGTGATGAATTCGGACTTGGGCGTATGTGCGGGTCGAATGTCAGGTAGCCCGGGAGTATTTCGGCGCTTATTACTGAAGGCTGGCATTTTGAAGGTTTAATAGTTTCCTAAGTTTGGGTTGAAGTAGACTTTGATGTTATCGATATCTGTTTAAAATTTTGAGCCTCGGAATAGTTCCGTATGGTGATTTTGGTCTTAAATGCGTATCCGGACGTTGATTTGGAGGTCCATAGGTCATTTCGGCGTCAATAGGCGAAAGTTGGAAATTTGGATGATTTTGAAAATTTTGACCGGGAGTGGACTTTTTGATATCCGGTTCGGATTCCGATTTCGAAAGTTGGAGTAGGTCTGTAATGTCAATTATGACTTGTGTCCAAAATTTGAGGTCAGTCGGACGTGATTTGATAGGTTTCGGCATCGATTGTAGAAGTTTGAAGTTTCAAAGTTCATTAAGTTTGAATTGGAGGGTAATTCGTGTTCTTAGCGTTGTTTGATATGATTTAAAGGCTCGACTAAGTTCGTATAATATTTTAGGACCAGTTGGTATATTTGGTTAAGGTCCCGAGGACCTCGGGTGAATTTCAGAGAGTTAACGGATCGATTTTTGAACTAAGAGAATGTTGGGATTTTTCTGGTTGCTGGTGCAATTGCACCTACGGAAAAAGGGCCGCAGGTGCGCCACCGCAAAATTTCCATGGGCAGTGCGGGACCGCAGATGCGGTCATCTCGCCGCAGAAGCGGGACCGCACCTGCGGAGTGGTCAGCGCAGAAACGAGGGCGCAAATGCGCTTACGGGCCGCAGAAGCGGCGGGCGACCTGGAATTGGGTTCTCGCAGGTGAGAGATTTGGAGCCGCATAAGCGGCTGTCGGAGGAGTGACCTTCTGGGCCGCAGAAGCGGAAATCGCGACTGGGCAGAACCTTTTAAGTTCGAGGGTTCGATATTTTCATCCATTTTCGCATTTTGGAGCTCGGTTTGGGAGACTTTTGAGAGGAATTTCATCACACGACTTGGGGTAAGTGTTCTTGACTCCCTTGTAATTATATTTCATGAATTAATCTTCATTTTGGTGTATGATTATCGAATCTTCAAGAGAAATCGAAGAAATTTTCTATAATTTCATAAAAACGAATTTTTGAGTTTTGAATGCCGATTCGGAGTCGGATTTGAGTGAAATTAGTATGGTTGAACTTGTAATTGGATGAGTTGTTGGATTTTGTGAGTTTCGTCGGGTTCCGAGATGCGATCCCTACTGATAACGTTTCGAGCGGAATTGAAAATTTATTGAAATTGATTAATTATGGGTATTATAACACATTATGATTGGTTTGCACCTTGTTTGCATAGTTTTGGATCGACAAGCATCGGTTTGAGGTGTTAGAGTGGCGTTGGAGCCGGCTATGGATCTTCCGAGCGAGGTAAGTCTCTTGTCTAATCTTGTAAGAGGAAATTTACCCCATAGGTGATTTAAATTAATAATTGTTTCTAATTGTGGGGGATACGTACGCACGAGGTTACGAGAGTCCGTGCGTAGCTACTAATTATGCTATGTCCGGGTAGTTTAGGACTCAAATCATGAATTACTTGTAATAATTGCATCCTTTATTTAATTAAAGTACTGGAGTTATATTGGAAATTGTTAGAGGAAATAGTAAAATACCGAAATTTCACATACTTGAATTTTTATGCAAATTACTTGATTGTTAATAGAAATTGTACATCCTTATGTGTTAGCCTTATAATAACTTCTCATTCCGGAGGTTCATAAGAAAATGTCCTCCTTTCTTGTGGAGTGGGCCGAATGCCTCGACAGTATAGATGCATTTATGGATCGTGCCGAACGTCCCTCGGCAGTGTACACGACACTCTGGATCGGGCCGTACGACCTCGGCAGAAATCGTGCCTAATAATAATAATTACACGATACCTTGACCTTGTATTGCATCTTGTGAAGCAAATTGATTAATTAGAAATTATTGAATTTGAAAGAATTATTTATTTTCGCTTGTTAAGAAAATTATTGTTATTCACATAAATCATGTCTATTCAAATATTTCTATTTTAATATTATTGACCCATAGTGAGTGTTAAAGTCGCCCTCTCGTCACTACTTCTTCGAGATTAGACTTGATACTTAATGGGTACACGTTGTTTACGTACTCATACTACACTTGTCGCACATTTCTGTGCAGGTACATGTATGTCTAGTGATCTTTTGGGCGTAGAGGCGCAGCTATCGCGGGGACTTACGGTGAGCTACATTCCATGACACGAATCCGCAACTACAGAGTCTCTATCAAAGTTATTTATATACTCCTATCTAATTTGTATCCCAGACAGATGTTGCATTTATCATATATTTCCTAGTTGATACCCATGCACTTGTGATACCGGGTTTTGGGGGTTCCTATTAGATGTTTGGTACAATAGTTCATATAACCATCATTGTTTCACTCTGTAAATCCTATTTTATGCTAATTAGTTAATGAAAATATTGATTTCAAAGGTAATAAAGATGGTTAATTGAATTAGTAAATTTCCGTTGGCTTGCCCGACGGCGGCGTTAGGTGCCATCACGACGTATAGTGGATTTTGGGTCGTGACAATATGGTATCAGAGCACTAGGTTCACTTAGGTTTCGCGAGTCATGAGCAAGTCTAGTAGAGTCTTGCGGATCGGTACGGAGACGTCTGTACTTATCTTCGAGAGGTTACAGGGCTGTTAGGAGCACTTCCATTCTTGATTCCTTTATCGTGTTGTTTGATTCCATTGAGGCTTGTGCCTTTATTTCCCTCCTACTCATTCTTATACGATGTTGAGCGCTCGTGTCTATTGGGCATTGAGGAGTTTCAGTGGTACTACAGAAGTGGAGCAGGATGTTTCTCCCTGCGCATTCAAACAAGTTATTATCGACTTCTTGCAAAATGAGGTTCTGTTATTTTAGCTTAGTATTGGTAATTCCTACGGTTTTGAGGCTATGCACGGTGTTGGTGTAATGGTAGGGTACCTGTCTACGTGTCAAGCTAGTGAATGACTCAGAAGGAGGATATCTCAGTGCATGATTTAAAAGTTCAGTATTTAATTCCAACAAAAGAAAAGCGATCGGACTTTGAATGTTCAGGTTTGAGTTGATGGAGTAATGAGACTTGGTATTTTCGAGCGTGGTGGAATTTCATTGTGATGCGGCGACGGCGTCCTTGTTTGAACGTATTTTCAGTTTGCAGGTGCTAGGGTCTTTTTGATTTTTGCCTTCGGGGCGGGGTGTTGTGAAATGGTACCTGAGCTGCGGTGCACAGCAGTTCAGGGTCGAATTGGTATTTCTAATGTGATAGCTCGAGGAAGATGATCTTGCAGTAGGCTTAAAGCTGGTAGCAATCCATTAGCTCATGTTTACAAAGATGGATTTTTATTTGATAAAGCACTGGGTAACGAAGAATGAGGAAGGACATGTGGGAGGTGTCTTGCGGTGGTTAATTTACTAGCAGGTCAAGTATGAGAAGCAGAAGTCAAGAAGTTTCTTAAAGGAGATGGTTTGACCAAAGTGGGAGAGGCGGAGTAGCATATGGATTTTATGGTAGGATAGCCACGTACCTTGAGAGAGTGTTGAACGGTTTGGAAATCGCGATGGAAGGTGATTTGGTTTACGTATTTTATTGGGAATGATAGTTACTGTACTGAGAAAGATTTGATATGGCCGAAAGGAGTTTCTTGAAATGAAAAGGGTATGAATATTTGACTATCGTTCCAGATGCGATATGACTTGAGTTT